CTGCGCATGCCCAGGGCTGGAACCCAAGAGAGGAAGTTGGGGAAGGATGAAGAAGCTCGGGGTGGTCATTGAGAGGCAGGACCTGAAGCCGTAATGGTGGGGACTGTGGCCTGGGGAGCGGGTAAGGATGAGAAGAGGGGCCAGAGCAGGCCCCGGTGTGGCCGGGATGACCCCTCCTCGCCTCCCTCTCAGGGTGTGCTCGGTGCGCTCGGTGGACGGCTCGCCCACCACCGCCTTCACGGTGCTCGAGTGCGAGGGCTCACGGCGGCTTGGCTCGCGGCCACGGCGCTACCTGCTCACCGGCCAGGCCAATGGCAGCCTGGCCATGTGGGACCTGACCACCGCCATGGACGGCCTCGGCCAGGCCCCTGGTACTCCCGCCCTGCCTCCATCCCGTCCCAAGCCCCCCACACTCACCCTGAATCCTTTTCCACCACCTCCATTGTGATCTCTCCTCCCAGGCTTTGCCCTCTGACCCCTTTCTCTGCCCTCCAACCCCTCAGGGCCCTGGCTTTTCAACCCCCTCTTAGCTTCTGACCCCTGTCCCTTGACCTCTACATCTTTTTTCCTAGCCTGACCTCAATCCTTGCACATGACCTTTGTTCCTTGACTTGTGACCCTTGTCTTGCCCCCTGACCCTGCTTCCTTGCCCCCAGCAGGTGGCCTGACAGAGGAAGAGCTGATGGAACAGCTGGAGCAGTGCGAGCTAGCCCCGCTGGCTTCCTCACGGGGCTCTCTCCCCAGCCCCTCACCCCGTACCTCGCTCACCAGGTAGGCATGACCCCACTTCCCATTCTGTGCCCTGGGGGGTGGCGAGAACATGGTGGCCATGGGGCCTCAGCTGCCCCACGATGACCTGCCCTGACCCTCATCACCCCCTCAGCCTCCACTCAGCCTCCAGCAACCCCTCCCTGTCTGGCCGCCGCGGGAGCCCGAGCCCCCCGCAGGCTGAGGCCCGGCGCCGGGGCGGAGGCAGCTTCGTGGAGCGCTGCCAGGAACTGGTGCGGAGTGGGCCGGAGCCCCGGCGGCCGCCTACCCCAGCCCCTCGGCCCTCCGCCGGTCTCGGGGCTCCCCTCACCCCCCCCAAGGTGAAGCTCAATGAAACTTCCTTCTGAACACAGCTGCCATGGTGCCTTCAGTTACCCAGGTCCTGGGGGACTCAGGTGCCTCCCGCTTCCTGTCAGAGCCCTGGGTTCAGGGCCAGGGCCTCCTTGGAGTGGTCACTGTTACTAGGCCCCGACTATCCCCCTTTTCTGGAGCCAAAGTCACCCTCCTCTAATAAAGTTCTCACTGCCAACACCTTGCTTACATTCTTAAAGAGTTTTGAGACTCCTAGGGAAAGAGTGAGAGAGGTGGGGGCCCCAACCAGGTCCCTGGCTGTGGATTCAGGAACATCTGTCTCTTCAGGTTTAAGCAAAGAAGGGGAATGTATTGGTTTACACTTTGGCTTCAGGCATGGCTGGATCCAGGGGTTCAAACACATCCAGAATGCCTTTCCATCCTTTGGCTTTGCTTTCTTCTGGGATGCATCATTCTCAGTCAGGTTTTCCCCTCTCTGTGCCAAGATGATTCTAGGTAGCTCCTTAGCAACATTTTTCTCTCGAGCAGCAGCAAAAATTACAACACTGATTCTCATTGGCTTGAGTTGAGTCAGATGGCCATCCTTGAACCAATCACTATGGCCAGGGTGATGGAAGCCTTCCATTGTCCCAGGGATCATGTGCCCGCACAAGCCAGGCGGTGGGGTCAGCCCCATGTTGACAGAGTGCAGGAGGAGTTCCTGAAAGGTGAATTGGGGTACTGTTACCCAAGGTGGGATGAATGGCTAGTGGTTGGCAGAAACACCGCTGTCAGCCATGTGATTGCCACATCTTTAAATTTTGTACCCGAAACCTCACCACGGCAAACACCTCGCCCACATCCCTGGCTGCCTGGGCTTTCACCCTTTTCTTGCCCACACCAGAGAGGGCATGTGGGACAGGTTGAGCCTGCCCCAGCCTGACATCTTTGGGATTTTTCCCCAAATAATACTTATTACTATGGGGTCTCCCCAGAGGCATTTTCAGCCTCTTTTCCTTGGGCCAATGAAGAGAGAAAGTAGGCCAGACTAAGAACACTGGATTTTAGAGTATGCTACTTCTAGAATTCCAGAGTTTCTGGAATGCCAGAGCTTCTGAAACATGGTGGAGCAGGGTCTAGAATGTTAGGGAATCTAGAACACAGGCATATTCTAGAGTGCTAGTGGATGAGCAATATTAAGGTTCTCTCCTGCATATCAGAGAATCCAGACTGTAGACATTTCTGACAAAAGGACCTGGAAAGTCAGTGATTCTGGAATAGGGGAGGGGTCTAGAATACCTATGAATCTACCCCAGTAGGAATATTTTGCATGCCAGAGATTCTGGAATGCTGAGAATTATAGGACACAGAAAGGAATCTGGGTTACTAGGAAATCTAGAGCATAGGAGTATTCTGGAATGTCAGCCCTTCTAGGTCATTAGAGGGCTTGTTTGCATCCCAAGAAATTCATAATGCCTGGGGTTCTGGAATGCCAGAGAATCTAGACATGAAGGGGAGGCCTAAAAGGTGGGTGATTCTCAAACATGAGTGTTCTGGAATGCCTGTGAACCTCAAACTCTGGAAATGTTTTTACATGCCAGGGCATTCAGAACACTGAAGGGATGTTTGAGCATTGGGGAGACTAGAACATAGGAGAGGGTCGGGATGTCAGGGAATCTAGAATATGGGGGTGTTTTGTAATGCTCACAGGTCTAGAATATTGCGATAGTTTTTTCCATGCCAGGGAATCCAGAACATTTGTGTTTCTGGAATGCTACTGATTGCAGAACAGAGAGAATGTCGGAAAATCTAGAACACTGAAGAGATTTGTTTGTTTGTTAATACCAGACATAAAACCCTCGCATAAAACAATGGGAGGAAGCTTCTGGAATGCCACAGCTCTAGAACTCTGAGGGATTCTGAAGGGTTGAGATCAGATCAGGATCCAAGGGGTGACGTAGAAACGACCCTGGGAGGTAGTGGCATTGATAGGGAGGGATTGGGAGCTGGGGACTCCAAATTCTGAGGGGGAGGGGAAGCCAACGCCATCCCCGGAAGTTGCAGTGGTGAGCCAGAGGCTGTTGCCTAGCAACGAGCATTGAAGATGCCCTGGATCCCAGGCAGAAGGGAGAAATTTCGGCAGCGCCCCCAGCAAATTCTCCAGCCACAGGGTAGGAGGGGGAGAAGGGGGGCAACCGGGGCAGGGACATGCTGTCCCGCAAGGCCATGTTAGCAGGGATGGCGGCGACTACTCAAAGGCAGGGCCACGGAGCACATTCTGTGCGCAGAGCCAGGCACTCCATCATCACGCTGGGACAGGCCACGAATGCCCGTGAGTGGGGTCTGAGTGCCGTCGTTACTGCTCCAAGGGGCTGTGTGTTCCTGGACAGTGGGTAAGCCCAGATTTCTGGGTGTCAGTGTGGAATGGAGGCGTGGATTGTTGTAGGTGGCAGTAACGGTGTGAGTGTGGCTGTGTGAGTCAGCCCGAGTGCCTCATTGTAACGGGGGAGGATGAAGGGGTCTCCCATCCGTCCTGCAAACCCTCCATTGGAAGAAGGAGCGGCAGTGGGCGATGAGGACGCTGGATCAGCTGCTGTTGTTAGCCCGGAGTGGGCCCTATGGTCAGGGCGTGTGGCCTAGTACCCTGTGTGGGCGGAGCCTGGGATCCACTGGGGGCGGGGCTCACGCTACAGAACTGGAAACCGTAAGAATCAAACTGTCAGGAACCCCTGGAGGCGGGGCAAATACAAAAGGGGTGGTGCTTGGGACCCTAAGCTTAGGGCCGCTCCCCAGTTCTCTCTGGGAAGGGGTGTGGCCTGAAACTTAACGGGAGAAGGGGGCGACTGGGGGCAGGGTCTGAAGCTCTGGGGGCAGTGCCTTTCGGAGAAGAGAGGCGGAGGTTTGTAATTCCGAGGAAAGAGAGTGAGGCCTTGAATTTATAATGAAGGGAAGGGGCTGGGCTTGAGACCCCCTGCGTTGGGAGGCTGTGAGCAGGGCTTAGATCGTGGAACCCGCTAAAGGGGGTGCAGGTGGGGCCCAAGGCCCCCTGTGGCTTGGGAAGGGAAAGGACTGGAATTTTCTAAGGAGAGTCTGCAGTTCTAGGAGTGGGAGGGGTGCTCTTGGGAGCCTTTAAAGATTCAGACAGCGAAGGGGGTCTGGTACCCTCGAGAGGCGGCGGGGGGAGAGGGGTGGAAGGTGGAGAGCAGAGCCGGGAGCCCTCTGGGAGCTGAGTCTGTGGGTCGGGGGCGGAGCCTGGGTCCTCTGAGGGGCAGAGACTCTAGCCTTCTAAGGAACAAGCTCTTGATTGTTGAGCCTGGAACCCCTGAAGCACAGGGCCTTGAGAAGCGGCAAATCCTTTGGGAAGGTCCAGAGGGGCCCTGGGACCCTCAGAAGGGCCAGACCTGGGGCCTAGTGCAGGGTTAGCGCTCCGTCCCCAGAATCCTGAGTCTCTCACGTGAGAAGTGGGCACCTGTGGGGGCTTCCAGCATCCCCACTAGTCGGGGAGCAAATTCTGATGGAATTCTTCCACAACTGCGAGCCGAGGGATGAGGCTGCGAGTGGAAGTCTATCTTAGGGGACACTGCCCACTGCCTGCGCATCACTCCCCGTCGTGGGAGGGGTCCCAGACCCTCAACACATGGGCCTCTCCTTCACCAGAGGGGTCCCCGAGTTGGTACCCGACTTCCGATTCCCCCCCAATGGCACTGAGAACTCTAGGCCCCTGCGCCCCCCGCCCGGCACCTGTCCCTCTAGCCCCTCCCCTGCCGCCTCCCGATTGGCCGCGCGGGCAGCGCCCCCTGGCGGCAGCGGGCTCTGATTGGCGGGAAGTTCGCAGCCGGCGGCTGGGACGCTGGAGAAAATGAGTCGGCCTCTGGCGGGGGCGGGGGGCGGGGCCGCGCTGAGCTGGACCCGCTGGACAGACGGCCCGCCTGGAGCCGGACTCCACGCCGGACACGATGCTGCGGCCTGGTCCTCGCGGCCGCCGCCCCCTCTTGCTGGTGCTGCTGCTGCCACTCCTCGCAGCCGCCGCCACCGCCGCCTCTGCCGCCAGCCCCGGCTCCAGCCAGGCCGTCGAGGTGATGACCCCGGGCCGCCGGGCCGGGTAAGCCCCGCTGCGGCCCCCTTTTTTGTGCTCCCTCCACCCAATGAGGCTGGTGATCCGGGAGGACCAGGACTTTCAGATTTAGGGGAATACGAACCCACTGCTTCGGGGTGGGGATGAAAGAGCCAGAGCCCTTGGATTTATTGGGGCCCTCTATTTTGTGGGGCTTAGAATCCGGGGAGCACTGAGATTCTGAGGGGAGGGGTTTCCCTCCGGTGTGGTAGAGATGCATACGGCTCCAGGGAATTTTAAGGTTTATTCGGAGAAAGGTATCAGTTTATATGGGGTTAGGGCTTTGAGTTCTCCCAGGATGACAGATGAGTGGTGCCCTCGAGCTGGGATGGGGTTCCGCAAACTTCTCGGGTTCATAAGGAGGAAGAGTATGGGGGGTTACGAAGGGACTTCATGGAGGAGTTGAGATGTCCTGGTTTTCAAGGGTTTGGGGGGCTAGGTTAATTAAGAGGGACCCTTGGATTTTCCTAATTCATTGGGAAGAAGTGAACTTTGGGGTTGATGGCCGAGGGGCTTGTGGGGAATTGTGCGGGGCGGGGGGGTGTCCAGATTTCATGATGTTTGGGATGCTCTAGTTTCCTAGAATTAGAGAACTCCAGGCTTGAATGAGGTACCAGTGATTTCCCGACGAGAGATCCAGAATTTCCTATAGATTTGGGGCTTACAGCCATCCTTCCTGTCTGCGGGTGACGAGATCGAAGGGAACAATCTGCCCAGCACCCCCACCCCCCGCCCAGCGGCCCAGCGGCCCAGCGCTCCGTTACAAAGGCCCCGGGCTCAGCTCCCGCCTCGGTCTCTGCGAATGCGTTTAGTAACCCGAGCCGCGCCGGGGGCGGGGCCGGGAAGGGGTTAACCTGGAGAAAAGGAGGGAGGGATGACGGCGAAATCGGGGTCCCGGAGGCTCCTCGCGGGCACCCTCTTCCCCCACTGGGCCCCACCCGTCTGGAAAGAGTCCATGCGCCCGACGTCCCTTCTCAGCATCCCCCCACTGCCCTTCTCTCGGGGCCTGCGCGCGCAAGCCCTCATCCCTCGTCCCCCTTAGCCTGGGGATAATGGATTTGTCTGGGGGGCCCCTTGGTTGCGACGCACTTGCGCCGGAGCTGAGGGCTCCGCTACTCAGAGTCTGAGATCCTCTGGGCGCGGAGATTTCTCCAAAAACGACTCCTTCCTCTTAGTCAGGTGGGAAACTGAGGCCCAAGGAGCGGGAGACGCTGGCTCCAGGACACACAGCGTGGAAGGGCAGGAACGGGCTTCCCACTTTCGGGATTCCCAGTCCTGGGCCGTGGCTCCTTCTGTATCCCGCTCCACCTCAGCACCCTGCTGGACCCACCGTCAAAGGAGGACCTCCCTCCCCAACGGCTGAGGCCTGTGGAAGTGGCGCCACCTGCCGGCCACGCGCGGGATGACGGCTGAGTCCTGGACGGGGATGTGCGCATTGGGCCGAGTTCTAGATTCCCAGACAGTCGGGGCTTGGCAATGCACTCAGAAATCCTCTTTGAGTCTTTTTTGAAAAATCACTTTTAAAGAAGACTTTCAAACGTCTTTTCCAGTAAGACCTCACCGCCAAACACTTCAGAAGACAAATAAAAGTAAGGTTGCTGTGGCCTTCATCCCTGGAGAGTCTAAGCCGATTTGCCTCCCATTGTACAGATGGGGAAACTGAGGCATCGAGCGCAGTGCCTCAAATTGGTCGCACGTCTGTTTCTTTGGAGCATTTTCAGGCCTCATCTTGGCTTTCCCTCCCCTATCCCCCATTGCCCTCCTTTGGGGGGTTCTAGGGTGCCAGGGGCCTAAGGGACTTCTCCTTTACTTATAGCATTGCTGCTTGTCGCTGCTGCCCAGGCCAATCGCCCAGGAGGAGCCGCTGCTTCAGAGGTGGGTTCTTCTAGCGGGGTATAGGTAGGGGGGTGGAAGAGGGTAGGAGCAGAGGGGCTGGGGGCTCCCTTCCCCACCCCTCATCGCAGCTGGAGAGCTGAATGCACTTGGTGGAAAGAGGGACTTGGTCCCTTCCTTCTCCACTTAGTCCCTGGCCATCTCCGAAGCCTCCTGCAGGGTCCGGAGCTGCCTGCCAGGAAAGTGTGCAGGCCCTCAGCGGTGCCTGACTCCAGTGCCCCGGGCGCTGCCGAGCCCCGGCCCCAGTGCGAGGAAGAGACAGGTGTCCCTGAATTGGCAGCCACTGACGTGAGTGTGCAATTTCTCCCCCTGCCCCCGCCAGGTGCTCAGAAGCTCCCAAGCCCAGCACTTCCGGCTCACCTTTCTCTACAGCCTGGCTCTCTCCCTTGTTCTCTCTGTCTCTGTCAACTTGTATCTCTGTTTCTGTTTCTCCTTTTCCTGCAGTCTCTGTCTCTCTGTCTCTGTTGCCATGTCCCTCTTTCTGTATTTGTTCTTTCCATCTCTGTCTCTGTTTCTCTCTTCACTGCCTCTCTTTTCCTCGGTGTCTCTCTCTGCCTCTGTCTGTCTCTGTGTCTCTCTTCTCTCCTCTCTCTCTCTCCCTTCCTCATCTCTGTAACTTTGTCTCTGTTTCTCACCAAGCCTCGAAACAACACTCGAGGCCTGGTCCCCATAAAGCGGTTGGGGGAGTTGGGCTGAGCCGGCACTGGACAACATCCTGGTTGGTGTGGGAGGCCCCTTTCAGCGAGGGGGGGGGAGTCAGCCTAACCGCGGTAACAGCGCCTTCTCTGCCCCCTCCCACCCAGGCTGCAGGAGGCCCGAGCTCTGCTAAGGCGACGTCGGCCCCGCGGGCCGGGGGGCCGGGCCCTGCTGAGAAGGAGGCCCCCACAGCGCGCCCCTGCCGGCCAGGCTCGGGGTAAGAACATCCGCCCTTCCTCTGCCGGGGGGGGGGGGGGGGGGGGTTCCGGGCCAGATAAAACCGTCTGGTTCCCACGGTCCAGCCGCCGCCTAGCCGCCCCCCATTGTAGCTCAGCCCCCCCCCCCAGGACATGGCCCCCTCTAGGGACCCCGGCGTCCGGCCGCGTGAGGTGAGCCTGGGACAGGACCAGACGCCGGCCAGAGGCGCTGACCCGCGAGGGTGGGGCCGGGAAGCCAGGCGTCCGGGCTCCCCGCGGCCGAAGAGGGGGGCGCTGTGCCTGCAGAGAGCGCAGCCGAACTAGCCCAGACAACAAAAGCGATTGTGCGGGTTGGCGCCTGCCCTGTCACCGAATGCCCAAAATTGCGGGGCGGCTAGGGGCCAAAGGCCTCCCCCTGCTTCCTGGACCCTCCCTCTGCCCTCCTCCAGCTCCGGCTCTGCCCCTGGGCCAGCACACCCCCTGGTCTCAACCACCCTCAAAAGTCCCCCTCCTGCTGTGGCCTTCAGCCCAGATGTGTCCCCTCCTCCCTAAAGTCTTCCAGATGTGGGCCTCCGGCCAGATGTGAGGACCCCCGCCCACAGCCTCAATCCACCGTTTCCCCTTATCCATTCTGACTTCTCCTACCAGGTGTGGGGGTCCTGGTCAGATGTGACTACATCCTCAAGTGTGTCCCCCACCCCAGCGTCCTGCCCACCATCCAGACCCTCAATTCCTTCATGTGCCCAGGTGCACCGACCCTTCTCCTCTCCCCCAGATGTGCCACCTGGCTGCCCAGATGTGCAATGACAGGCCCCTATCCACTGAAGGCCCTTTCTCTGTGCCTAGGGCGGAGAATCAGCCTTTAGCGGCCTCCCCAAATGCGGCCCCCAATACTCTTTCCTCTTTATGGATTCAGCCCTGTTTGGGGAGAAACCGGCCCGCCCCCACCTGTTCCCTTCCTCGCCGCTCCCCTGCGGGCCCCATTCACTTGTTGGTGCGAGGGGGGGCCGAGGGGGCGTCCCCTCCCCCCTGCGAGCCTAGCGCCCAGCCTGCGCGCCTCTGGCTGCGCGCCCAGCCCCACGCGCCCCCGCGCGGCCGCCGGGGAGGGAGTGGTGGGGAGGGGGGGCCTGAGCGGGGGCGCGGCCGCCCTCCCCCGCGGGCGGGCGGGCGCGGCCGGGCCCCTCGGGCGGGCTGGGGCGGCGGCGCGGCGGAGCGCGGCGCTGCAGCCATGGCGGGCGGCGCGCGGCTGCTCTGGATGTCGCTATTGGTGCTGCTGGCGCTGCTCCGGCCGCAGCCCGGGCTGGGCCGGCCCCGAGAGCGCCTCCGCGTGCGCTTCACCCCGGCCGTGTGCGGCCTGCGCTGCGTCCACGGGCCCACCGGCCCCCGCTGTACCCCGACCTGCGCGCCCCGCAACACCACCAGCGTGGACAGCGGCGCGCCCGGCGGGGCGGCCCCGGGGGGACCCGGCTTCCGCGCCTGTGAGTGCGGGGTGGTGGTCCCGAGGGAGGGGTTCCCCGGGGGAGGAGGATCCCCAGGGATGGTGGAGACAGTCCCCCAGGGAGAGGGAGCCTAGATTCCGTGTGCAGTAGCGCTGGGGAATCACATTCCTGGCTTTTGGGATTGAGTCCTGAGGGTCCTGATTTTGCAAGCAATGAGGGTTCTCGGGGACCTGTGGCGTCCCACGTGAGGGGACTGGGGTCGGCTTTCCTGCCCTTGAGTCAAAGTGGGGAATACCTGAATTGAGGGTCCTGGGAGCTTGGGAGAAGGGGTCCCTGGAGGCCAAGAGAGAGGTTCAGGGCCCTGCGGGGTGGTGTCCCAGTTGCTCCGTCTGTGGGGTGGGAGGGATTAAGAAAGTCCAGGATGGGAGTGCCTGGCTGGAGGGAGATTGGGGTGAGCAAAGTTGATCCGGAGGGCTGCGAGGGAAAGAGCCCCCAGAAGGAGGGTCTCTGCAGGACCCTGAGTTGCAAGGGTCCCACGTGGGAGAGAAATCCAGATAGGAGACCTAGGGGGAAGGGGCACCCCCTGGGGGCCGGGGGGACAGGAGGAGGGTGCGCACCGGGCACCCCTAGAGATGAGGAGCCCGCGGGGGGGTTCAGGTGAGGTGAGAAGGGTGGGCCACCTGTTGGCCCCAAGGTGCGGGGGTGGGTGGGCTCTCGGGATCGGGGCCTACCTGCCCCCAACCCCGGAGGTCCTCTGGAGTGGGGAGTGGGGGCCCCTGGCGCCGAGAACTCACCCAGCCTGGCCCCCAGCCAACCCAGCCCGGGGCCGGCGTGAGCTCATCTCCCGCCTGAGCCCCCGCCCGCTGCCACTCCCTCTCTCCTCCCCTTCCTCTCTCCTTCCTTCACTCCCTCCCGGCCCCAAGCCCCGTGCCAGGCGCCATGCCCAGGCGGGTGCCAAGCCCCTGGAGGCACAAGGAGGGGCATGTGAAAGGGGGCTGACCTCGGCAGGACCTCGATGTCCTCAGCTCCTCATTCCTCCAGGGTCGTGGGCCATGGAGTTGTCGGTGCCCATCGAGCGGCTCTCCCCCGGTGTGGGAGCCCTCAGGGAGCTGGGGCCGGGGGGGGGGGGGGGGGGGTGCTGCATTCAGGCCAAGAGAAGGCTGAGAAGTGCCCTTGGAGGCTGGGAAATGCACCCAGACCTAGCTGGATTACCACGACCCCCAGCAGACTTCCTATTTTGGAATCTTGATTCCTAGTTAAGCCTCTTTTAGGCCTGCCACTCAATTAAGGACCCATATTAGAGCCCCCTGGAGTCCTGGCCCGACTCCTCTAACTAAGGGAGCCCAGAATGTCTGCCTTCAGACCCTAAACCCTCTCCCCACCACTATCAACAGCTCCAGAGACCAGCCCCTCCAGCGAAGTTCCCTCCCATTCTTCTTATGTGATCTCCCCAAACTGTACCCCTCACTGGAAAACTCGGTAGTATTGTCCCTCAGTTAGTCCTCCCCACTTCCCTGAGAAACCCTAGATTATAAACCCTATGACAGTTAACCCCGGTCCCTAGCTGAATTCTCTTCCCACAAAGCCTACCGTTTTCTTATATTTCCGATGGAGTCCCGTCAGAGATCCCCCATTCCTGTCTATCCAAGTCCCGCTCTTCCAGCTGACCCCTCCCCTCCCCAGGAACTTCTGCTCCATCCACCTTCAGAGAACCCCAGAGTTGGTCTTGATCAGCTGATCCTCCCAAGAGGTCTCTAGACACTGTTCTTGCCCGAAGCAATCATTAATGAAAAGACTTGGGTACCTAATCCCTTAGCTGGGAGGGGAGGAGGGAATAGAGTCTTCCCAGACAATTGAAGCTCTCATGTGCTGGGAACTCCCAGGGATCCCACTTCCCCCTGAATCTAAATGCTGTTCTCAGCACTCTCTAACTGGCTATCCTCTAGAAGACACTAGAGTCCTGTTGTCTAGGTAACTCTCCCCAAAAGGACTCAAAGGACTCCTGTTGAAGGGCGCCTCAGTTTGCTCTGAGTTAGGCTCCCTTTCCCTTCCAGAAACCTCGAGCCGTCTTTGAACCCCAGAGTACTGCCCCCTAGCTGATCGCCCAGGAGTCCAGTCTCTTTACCCTTCTTGAGGGGACCCCCTCTCTTTCCTCTCTCCAGTGTGCACACACGCCTTCCTGGACGGCCCCGGCCGCCTGCCCCCATCCTCCCCTCCGCACAGCTGTCTCCAGCTGTTCTCGGCAGCCCTGGGGGAGAAAGGGAGGGGGTGCCCTCGCAGGATACGTCCGGCCTTCTTTGGCTCCGCGGGCTCGGGGCTCCCCAAGGGTCCGGAATGCGGAGCCGCCGCCCTACCCCCGCCGCACCCCTCTCTTTGTTTACCCCGCCGCACAGCTGGCAGTGCCCCGCCCAGAGGTGGCCCGGGGCCCAGCGAGGGCGCGCAGAGGGGAGAGGAGGCGCGTTCCCGCTAGTGGCCCCGCCCCGGGGCTACTGGAGGCGGGAAGGCAGAGCTAGAACGCTGGATCCAGAGCCAGAGGGGAGGTGGGCGGAGACAAAGCGCGGTGGGCGGGGCTAGGGTGCCCCGATGGCTGGGAGGTGGGGTGGGAGGGGCGTGAGCGAAAGAGCCCGGGCAAATCAGAGTGAGGAAAGGAAGGTAGGCGGGGCTAAAGGCAGCATGTTAGACGCCTTGATAAGGCGGGGTTTAGAATCCCGCGGGTAGAAGGTGATGTGGGCGGGCCGCATAGACCCTGTCTACGCATAGACAGTGGGCGGAGCTTGAACGTCGTGGACCCGACCAGACAGGGTGTGGGCGTGTCTAGAATGGTACGACAGAGTTGGGAGGGAGGAGCGGTGCCAGGCAGTGACTAAACTGTGATTTTAGTCAATGAAAGGGACCAGCGCTGGATCTGAGGGACTGGAACAGCAAAAGACCTAGCCTGTCGACGAGATGGGAGGGGCTACCATGCCAAGGAAGGAGATAGAGTGGGCGGGGACAGCGTTGTCTGGGCGGGGCTGGTACACCGCGGACTCTGCAAGAAAGTGGGACTCGAGAGCGAGGGCGGGGTGACATGAAAGTGAATGAAGAGCCGGAGGGCGTGGTGAGCCGATCCAGTGGGCGGAGCTATACGTCTGAGAGCACTACGACCGGACCCAGCCAGTGTAGATAGCCAGGATTGGTGGGGGTGGCACAAGACAGCTCAAGGTGGAGCGACTGAGAGTGATGCCTTTGAGGGTGTAGTTATAACGTTAGGGACTGAACTAGCTTGGATGCGCTGGCTCCAGGGGTGCTTGCCAGGGCAATTACCGACCCTGAGTGTACTCACTCTCCCCATAGTCCTGTGTCCTTTGATCTGTCACAACGGCGGTGTGTGCGTGAAGCCTGACCGCTGCCTCTGTCCGCCGGACTTCGCTGGCAAGTTCTGCCAGTTGCATTCCACGGGTGCCCGGCCACCGGCCCCGGCCATGCCAGGCCTCACCCGCTCCGTGTACACCATGCCGCTGGCCAATCACCGCGACGACGAGCATGGTGAGGAGCGTGAGGCTGGGGTCCTCTCTGACCCCTCCGCCCACCACCTCTCCCTTCCTCTGATCCCCCATCTTTCCTGCCTTCCCCGGAGTACCCTTCTCCAGTGCGCCCTTTACCCCCTTTCTTAGTCCCAGTCCCTAAGAACCTGTGTAAAGGAGCGGGCCGGTGGTCGAGTGGTTAAAATTATGCGCGCTCCGCTTCGACGGCCCCGGTTCACGGTTTTGGATCCCGGGCGCGGACCCACTCCACTCATCAGCTATGCTGTGGAGGCATCCCCACATACAAAGTAGAGGAAGACTGGCACAGATGTTAGCTCACAGCTAATCTTCCTCCAGCAAACAAAACAAAACAAACAAAAAACCACACCCGTTTAGACACCCCTTTGCCCGACGTGCCTCCCTCCAGGAGTGGCATCTATGGTGAGCGTGCACGTGGAGCACCCTCAGGAGGCGTCTGTGGTGGTGCACCAGGTGGAGCGTGTGTCCGGTCCTTGGGAAGAGGCGGATGCCGAGGCAGTGGCACGAGCAGAGGCAGCGGCGCGGGCAGAGGCGGCGGCGCCCTACACGGTGCTGGCACAGAGCGCGCCGCGGGAGGACGGCTACTCGGACGCCTCGGGCTTCGGTTACTGCTTTCGGGAGCTGCGCAGAGGCGAAGTGAGAAGAGGCTGGTGGGGAGGGGCCCGGAGCGTGCCACCGCGCGGGGGCGCGCTCACCCAACACTTCCCCACAGTGTGCGTCCCCGCTTCCCGGGCTCCGGACGCAGGAGGTCTGCTGCAGAGGGGCCGGCTTGGCCTGGGGCGTTCACGACTGTCAGCCGTGCTCCGAGCACCTGGGTAAGTCCCAGGCGTCCCCGAGGTGCTCGGAGCCGGGGAGGGGTGATAAATAACCCCGTCGCTGCTCGTACCCTGCCCATAGATGAACCCTGTTCACAAATTCTTGCCACACCTGCCCAGTTGTGGGGATCATTTCCAGTCTAGACCTATCCATACCGTTCTGGGACCGCTCACCCCACTTTCTGACTTTGACTACACTGTTCTCACCCTGCCTCTGTGCCATGGCCCCACTCTTGCATTTCTGGAACCTTCCACGTTGCCTTCTGTCAGACTGCCAACCTAAGGCCGACCTTGCGCTCAAACCACACCCAACACCTTTTAGTCCCTCCCACCCCAATTTCGTCCCCGCCCACTCCATTCTCACTCCTCCCGCCCCTGGCCTACCCCTCTCCTCTCTCGACAGGGAACTCGGACCGCCTGGGCGCCCCAGATGGACCCTGTCCAACCGGCTTTGAAAGGGTTAATGGGTCCTGCGAAGGTGAGCGGGGGTGAGCGGGGGAGGGGGGAGGGGCGTGGCTCTAGAGGCAGAGCTCGCAAAGAGCTGGTCCCTGACGCCACTGGGACCACCCCATCCCTCGCAGATGTGGATGAATGCGCGACGATTGGGCGCTGCCAGCACGGGGAGTGTGCGAACACGCACGGCGGGTACACATGCGTGTGCCCCGATGGCTTCCTGCTCGACTCGTCCCGCAGCAGCTGCATCTGTGAGAGGGGGCTGAGGCTGGGTCCCACGTCTGTCCGCCCTGCCCTCAGACCCCATCGGAGAGCATCCTTGGGCCTTTAATTCCCTTAGCTCCCCCCCCCCCCCCCCGCGCCCCGCATCCTCCTAGAAGCCCAGGTCCCCCCAGTCACTCTTACTAGATCCCGCTCAGAACGTCTCAGACTCTCATACACCTCAGACCCCCTGGACCTGCTTCAGCCCCTCTAAGAACCCCTCCAAGCTTTTGGATTCAGACCCCTTCAGCTCCCCAGACTTTCTTCAGCTCCTCTCGGCCCCCAAATCCCGTCACCTCCCTGGACCACCAGACCTTCCTCAGACCCTGAGATCCTTCTCAGATTCTCTCCTTCACCCCTCAGACTCTCCGCAGGCCCCAGACCTTCCTCAGACCTCCAGACCCCGCGCCTCTCCTTCCTACCCTCTCAGACCTCTCCCAAGTGCCCCTCACACCCACCAAACCCTCCCTGAGACCGTTCCCCTACCTCTCAGATCCCCCAGTTCCGCTGCACTCCCAACCCCGCCCTGAAGAATTTCCTCCCCCTCCCCCAGCCCAACACGTGATCTCAGAGGCCAAGGGGCCCTGCTTCCGCGTGCTGCGCGACGGCGGCTGCTCGCTGCCCATTCTGCGCAACATCACCAAACAGATCTGCTGCTGTAGCCGCGTGGGCAAAGCCTGGGGCCGGGGCTGCCAGCTCTGCCCACCCTTCGGCTCAGGTGAGCGCCGGAGACTCCCCGCCCACTTGCCTGGCTGGGCGCTAGCCTTGGCCACGCCCCGACCCCTGAGACTCCGCCCACCTTTGGCCACACCCACCCCTGAGATACCCCACCTTGAAGTTAGGCTGAGCCCCCTGAGCGTCACACCCAGCCTTGGCCGCTCCTAGTCCTTGAGATATGCTGCCTGCCCAATGCTGTCCCCAAGCTTTGGTCTAGTCCCCAGCTCCTGAAACACTACCTTCAGCCTAGGTTCCGCCTTGGGCCCCGTCTTAGACACGACCCTCTCTGGGACGCCTCCCTGGCAATCGAGCTTCTGCCTAAAACCAGATCCCACAATGGACCTGTTTCCTGGCCTTGAACGCAGTTCCTGTAGACCCCCACGCAGACCCTCAACCCCTGTTCCTGCCCCCATCCCAAAGGAGGAAAAACATCCGTGGTCCCACCCTCAGCCTCTGAGAATTCCCAGTCTTTAGCCCGGGTACCACCCCATCCCAGCATCCAGCCCAAACCCCTGACAACACTCCCAGGCCAAGCCCCGCCCCCAGCCAAAGCCAAACCCTAGACCCCCCCTCCTCTCTCTCTCATTCCCTCCTGCTCTCATGCCCTCTCTCTGCCCACCCCGCCTCCCCGTTCCTAGAGGGTTTTCGGGAGATCTGCCCTGCTGGCCCTGGCTACCACTACTCGGCCTCCGACCTCCGCTACAACACCAGACCCCTGGGCCAGGAGCCACCCCGCGTGTCCCTCAGCCAGCCCCGAGCCCCCCCCTCCACCTCTCGACCACCCTCAGGTGAGCTGGCTTCTGGAGGAGGGGGTGTCATCTCCCAGGGGCTGCCCCAGCCCCATGGGGAAAGGAGAGGGAGTGAGGACACCCAAGTCCAGATCTCCATTCACTGATGCCGCTTCTTTACCAGGCTTTCTGCCCACCCGTCGCCCAGAACCCCGCCTGGAGCCCCGGCCTGAACCCCGGCCAGGCCCTGAGCTTCCCCTGCCCAGCATCCCCGCCCGGACTGGTCCTGAGATCCCTGAATCAGGTGCAATAGAGGGAATCGACGGCATTGATGCCGGGTAGGGGTTCTAGCAGGAGGTTCCAAGGTCAAGATCCCAGGATGGAACAAATAGGGACGTCACCGGCAGAGGAGTTAAGGCAGGGGTGGGAAGAGATAAAGATTTGGAGGGTTGGATGGTGGTTACATCGGGAGCTGGAGTGGGACAGGCCAGGGTGCAAATTCTCTGTCAATTCGACAAGTCATTTAACCTCTCTGAGCCTCAGTTTCCTCATCTGTAAAATGGGGACCATTGTGAGGATTCAGTGAGCTATCTCTGAAGTGTCTGGCCCACAGAGAGTGCTCAGTAATGACAAATAATTATTTCTCACGGATGGCGCTAAGAACCTATCTCAGGCAGAGGAGTGGAGGGTTATGGGAGGATTCAGGTGGAGGATCTGGTGAGAAGGTCCCATGATAAAGGGGAGCAGGATGGGGAGTGGAAGCCTGGGCTTGGGGAGGAACATCCGTGAGGGTGTTTTAGGCGGAGGATCTGAGGGGATTGTACTGGGACGAAAGGGACAGAGGATTCAGAGATGGGGGAACCCTGGCTGACTGGACCCCCCAGGTCCCTCCGCGGGCGTGTGTCAGCGCAATCCCCAGGTCTGCGGCCCGGGACGCTGCATCCCCCGGCCCAGTGGCTACACCTGCGCCTGCGACTCCGGTTTCCGGCTCACCCCACAGGGCACACACTGCATCGGTGAGCCGGGCAGAGGGGGCGCACGGAGGCGGGGCGGGGGGCTCTGCCCGCTCCCCTCCTGACCAGCCCCTCCGTGCCCTCAGACGTGGACGAATGTCGCCGCGTGCCCCCGCCCTGTGCTCCCGGGCGCTGCGAGAACACGCCAGGCAGCTTCCGTTGCGTGTGTGGCCCCGGCTTCCGAGCCGGCCCGCGGGCTGGGGAGTGCCTGGGTGAGAAACCCGCCCCGCTGGCTCCGGGCCCCATCTCTGCCGGGTCCCGCTACCGCTGGCCCTCCGGAGCAGTTGGCGCCCTCCCACGCTTCCCCACGCCCCTTCTGCCCAACTATACTCGCGCCCTGGTCCGGCCTGGCCCGCCCCGGCCCGCCCCCAGACCAGCTCCTGCCCTCCCCTCGGCCGCACTGCTGCCCCTTCCCCGCCCGGCTGACCCTTCCGGTCGGGGCAGGTCGCTGCCCTCCTTCGGGGCCGACCCCTCTCAGGGACTGGTCTCGGCTCCGCCCCTGCCTTGGCCCCGCCCCTACATATTCCAGAGGCGCTCCCACCTACCCCCGGGCCCCGCCCCATCCTGTGACCGCGGCTACCTCTCTCCTGACCACGACCCCTGATTGCCACCCTGCCACACCAGTGCTACATCCCTAAACCGCCCCTTCTCTCGCTCCTGCCTTCCCTGTGCTGGGTCCCCAAAGCTGCCCTTCCCGCCCTTGCCCTGCCCAGGCCCTGCCCTCCGCAAATTGCCCCCCTCACCGTTCCCCTCTCCACCTCTGCCTTGGCCGGGTCCCCAGCCCTTGTCCTGCCCTCCCCACTCAAGCCCTGCCTTCGCCTTAAACCTAGTCACTCTGGGTCCCCCCTACTGCTCCTGGCTCCGGTCCCAGCCTGGCCAGGGCCCAAGCTTGGCCCTGCCCCTGCCCTCCCCGCCTCCCCCCCCCCCCCAGCTGTCTGGAGCAGGGGTGGGTGGGGAGAGTGTCTGCTCCAGTCTCAGCCGCCTGGGGTTGTGCCCGCAGACGTGGACGAGTGCCACCGCGTGCCGCCGCCGTGTGACCGCGGGCGCTGCGAGAACACACCAGGCAGCTTCCTCTGCGTGTGCCCCGCTGGGTACCAGGCTGCGCCCCACGGAGCTGGCTGCCAGGGTGAGGGACTAGGAGGGGCAGAGGGGAAGGGATGTGGGGGGGAAGGGTTGAAGGGCAGTGATGAGGGATGGAGAGACGAGCAATGAGGCAGAGGGAGGGTGATTGATGGGAGGCAGAGGCCAGGTTCTGAGAACATGGCCTGATGGCTGTAGAGACAGAGTGACACCGGGATGGAAACAGAAAGGCTGAGTCATGGAGGATGAGGAAGCAGAGGGATGGAGGATGGAGGTACCAGTAATAGAGGAAGGGGTAGAGTTATGGAGGACAAGTAGAAGGAGGCCCACTGATGGGAACTAGAAAGGCAGAGTTCTAGGAGGCAGACAGGCAGCTTAATAGGGGTTGAAAGGGTAGAGGGATGGAGGATAGAGAGTTAGAATGGTGGCAGAATGATGGAGACAGGAGGAAGTGTGATGGAGGATGGAAGGCAGAGTGATGAGGACAGGGTGGCAGGATGATGGAGACCAGGAGGCAGAGTGATGGGGGATGGAAGGCAGAGTGATGAGGACAGGGTGGCAGGATGATGGAGACCAGGAGGCAGAGTGATGGGGGATGGAAGGCAGAGTGATGAGGACAGGGTGGCAGGATGATGGAAGGTGGAATGTCAAAGCAATGGAGGTCAGGGAGGCAGAGTGGAGCATGGGGGGCATAAGGGAGGTGTGACCCCGGGCCCCTGCCCCACACAGATGTGGACGAGTGCATCCAGAGCCCGGGCCTCTGTGGCCGAGGAGCCTGTGAGAACCTGCCCGGCTCTTTCCACTGTGTTTGCCCGGCTGGCTTCCGGGGCTCGGCGTGTGAAGAGGATGTGGATGAGTGTGCGCAGGAGCCACCACCCTGCGGGCCAGGCCGCTGTGACAACACGGCAGGCTCCTTCCACTGTGCCTGCCCTGCTGGCTTCCGCTCCCAAGGGCCGGGGGCCCCCTGCCAAGGTGAGGGTGCTGAGTCCTCTCCACTCCTATTTGCTGTGGGCACTGGAGAGAGACATGACTGCGGACAGAGAGGCAGTGTGATGGAGCTCAGTGATAGAGGAGAGGGGCAGAGGGGTGGGGGTACTGAGAGGGTGGGGAGGGCCTGACTCTAGAGTCTTCTCCTCTTCTCTAAATACAAGGGTGCTCTCCACTCCTCTTCCCTTTTTGGGTGATACTCTTGTGCTTGTGGGAACCCTGAGGAGGGGACAACTCTGAGGCAGGGAAGGCCACATGCAGGAAGTGGGGCCCTAGCCTCACGCTGGCAGATGTAGAGACCATTAACTGGGGAAATGAGGGAGGGGTCTGTCCTCCTGGCAGGAGGGAGCAGGCTGGGCAAAGTCTAGCAGGCTGCCTCCAGACTGGAATGCCAGGGTGGGTGGTGATGGCAATGAGTCTGGGTCCAGGCCCCTTCCTCAGCCCCACGGGTCCCCTCTGCCCCAGATGTGGACGAGTGTGCCCGCAGCCCCCCGCCCTGTGCCTACGGCCGGTGTGAGAACACGGAAGGCAGCTTCCAGTGCGTCTGCCCCACGGGCTTCCAACCCAACGCCGCTGGCTCCCAGTGCGAGGGTGAGGCCGGGGAGGGAGGGAGGACCGTGTGTGGGTGACGGGGGCATTGGGCTGCTCTTCAAGGCCACCCTCTCCTCTGGCCCCCAGATGTGGATGAGTGTGAGAACCACCTGGCGTGTCCTGGGCAGGAGTGCGTGAACTCACCAGGCTCCTTCCAGTGCAGGGCCTGTCCTGCTGGCTACCACCTGCACCGTGGCCGATGTACTGGTGAGACCAGGCCCTGGCTGTGACCTTGGATCTGCGTATGACCCCTGACCCAAATTGTGACCCCTATCCTGGACTACAGCCCTGACCTGGCCCATGACCTCCTGACCTGGACCTCAATCTCCTTACCTGGAGCACTTACCCAGAGCCTGACTGCGACTCCTGACCTAGACTATGGGCCCCTGACCCAGACTGCAATTCCCGACCTGGACCACAACCCTTGACCCTGAATGTGTCTTCTGACTCTGTGCCCCATGAACTCTCAACTTGACTGTGACATTTGACTCTAACCATGACTCCTGCTGATAACCCCTGACCCCACCCTGATAGCAATTGTGACCCTCCCGACTCCTGGCCTTGAATGTGACCTGTGGCTGCTGAACTTGACTGTGACATTTGACCTAACCTTAACTCCTGACCATAACCCTGACTATAACCCCTGACTCTGTGTGACCTTTGATTCTGTCTCTTTCATTGCACCTGCCCTTGCCCCTTCTCAGAGTCCCTTCTTTGGGGCCTGATTGGGTTCATGATCACTGACCTCAACACTTGACTAAAGGCAGAATTTGGGACCCTGACTGTAACCCCTGACCCTAATTGGTCTCAGATTCCAGTCACTGACTCTGACCCCTGACTCAGCAGAATCCCATCCAATGATCCTGGTTTATAATACTTGACTCCTTACCCTATTCATTTCTGACCCCTGTTTCAGTCCAGAGTCCCTTCACCTGACCCCAGGATCCTGGGACAGGGAGTTCCCAGAAACCCAGCCCGCAGAGCCCCCCATCATGGTCCCCAGAATCAGGGGACCTTGGTCCTCCCTACCCACTTCTGTCCTACAGCCCTCACCCCATATCCAACCTAAGACACTTCCCATCATCTCCCCCAGACGTCTCTGCCCCAAGGGGATCTGTCTGGCGTGTCCCTAGACTGGACCTTTTCTGAAACCCCCATTCCCACAGATGTGGACGAGTGCAGTTCGGGTGCCTCCTGCGGCCCCCACGGGCACTGCACTAACACCGAAGGCTCCTTCCGCTGCAGCTGCGCGGCGGGTTACCGGGCGCCGGCTGGTCGGCCTGGGCCCTGCGCAGGTGGGCAGCTGGGGAGAGGCCGGAGAGCCCTGGAGTGGAGTTCTGGGGTCTTGGGCAAAGCGCGCGGGGCAGGTGGAGGCTGCACTAAGGGGCTATGGGTGGAGCTTAAAAGCCGGCCCTCAGGGGTGCGGCTTGGGGGCGGGGCTGCTGTGTGGGGGCGGGGCTGCTGCCTTGGGGGCGGGGCTGGGGTCCGGGCAGCTGGGCGGCAGCCCTTTCTTTCGCGAACCCTAGACGTGAACGAGTGTCTAGAGGGCGACTTCTGCTTCCCGCATGGCGAGTGCCTCAACACCGACGGCTCCTTTGCCTGTACTTGTGCCCCCGGCTACCGGCCCGGACCCCGCGGAGCCTCTTGCCTCGGTCTGTCCCCAGCCTGGGCCTGGACCGGGAAAGGGTGGGCGAATACCAGGAGAAGTCGGGACAAGAAGACGGCGGAATGGGGAGTCTGAATTTTTGGCCAGGGTCTTAGTGCATCCTGGGGGCGGGGCTTGCGGAGACCCCGGGCGAGGCTTGGAGGGGAAAGGCGGGAACGACGGAGTCTGGGTAGCTGGGCCGTGAATGTCAAGGGTCGGGTCTGACCCCGTGGGAGGGGTGAGGCTGGCAGGGAAGGGAGGAGCCTAAGGCAGGTGGGGGAAGGAGTTAAAGGCCTTGGAGCCGAAGGGGCGGGGCAAAGGCGGTGGAGGGCGGGGCAAGGGCTGCGGGGGCGGGGCCTGGAAGGTTAAGCGGAGGAGGAGGGGGCGGCGGTTTCCGACACTCTGTCCTGCAGACGTGGACGAGTGCAGCGAGGAGGACCTTTGCCAGAGCGGCATCTGTACCAACACTGACGGCTCCTTCGAGTGCGTCTGTCCTCCGGGACACCGCGCCGGCCCGGACCTGGCCTCCTGCCTAGGTGAGAGGCCCCGCCCCGGCCTGACCCCTCCTCCCTGCCTCCCGTGTCCCCCATTTGTCTCCCCTCCCCCCGCCTCCCCTTCGCTGCTTCCTCCCTTCCACCTTCCTGCGTCTCCCGCCTCTCCTCTTTGCCTCCCCATCTCCCCTCCTCTGCCCTCTTCCTCTCTTGGCCCCCCGCCCCCCTTCTGACTCTCCTCTCCCCTCCTTGACCCCGCACCTTTCCTCCTTCGCCTCTCTGCCTCCCTGCTTCCCCCATCTGACTGCCCTCCCTCCCTTCCTCAGACGTGGACGAATGTCGCGAGCGGGGCCCGGCCCTGTGCGGGTCCCAGCGCTGCGAGAATTCCCCTGGGTCCTACCGCTGTGTCCGCGACTGCGACCCTGGCTACCACGCGGGCCCGGGGGGCACCTGTGACGGTGAGACCACGCCCCCCGCCCCCACGACGAGTTTCTGGAGCTGGCTCCCTTGGGACTGAGGAGGGGCACCAGGCCTCACGGAGTTGCGGGAAGGGAAAGGGCCCCCAACCAATGCATTTAATCCTCTCCCCATCTTTGTGGTGGAAATCAGCCTCCAGCGTGTCCTTGTACTTTCTTGTGGAAGCGAGGCAGGAGGATGGGGAAGACACTCCTATCAGGAAACAGGCCAAGCCTCGCTTCCAGAAGCAGCCCATGCCCCTCTGCCGCTTGAGCACACTCCACATTTTAGGCGGTCCCCTAGTAAGACATCTCCTATAGTAAGAACTGTTAGCCTCCCCCCCTTCCAATGGACCCATGGATTGAAACCTCCTGTTTCTCCCTCTTCAGGCCCCTTCACTTTGCACTGCCCTCTTCCCACCTTCCCCACTCCTTCCGCTTCCAGCTCCCCTCCAAAGAGGCCCAACCCTAGCTGTCCTGGGCCCCATCCTTTCCTGCTGCGAAATTCCGCGGGTTTCTCCCGGCACTGATCTCTGCCCGCTTAAGCTCTGCCCTTCCACACTCTATTCACCTCTCCAGATTCTGTCCTTTTCCACTCCTCAGACTCCTCCAGGCCTTGGGAACGTCTAGGCCCACCCCTTCCAGTCTCTGCTCCGCCTTCAGACCGCCCCTTGCCTGCTCTTCTCCTCCACGCCTTCCCAGCCCTCCACTCCCCCACCCCATCCCTCACCTCCCATGCCCCCTGCCTGGCTCCCCCATCAGGCTCCAGCAGGGGACCGATCGAGGCAGGAGGCCAGGACTAATCCAAGTGTTTTTTTGGATGGTGTGTGGGCCAGCATTTCGTGGAACAAATGAGACGTCTGTGGGCTGGCTCCCTTTGGCTCTCCGGTTGCCAGACCTCTGGTTCATGGAAACCTGATTTCATGGAGTCTCATTCATTAATTCCACAAGAGTTTGCTGAGCACCTGTCATGTGCCAGACACTGGGGGCACAACAGGCAATGAGTCCAACGAAACCCCTCCCCTCCTGCAGCTGATATGCTAGGCGGGGAGACAATAAATATGGGAACAAATGCAAAATGCATTCAACAAGCAATTTGGGGGGGTACCCACTCTGTGTCAGGCACTGTTCTATGCCCTGGGGATACTGTGGGGAGCAAGACAGACACAGGTCCTGCCCACGTGGAGTCTGCATTCTAGAGAGGTGACAGCTGGCTTACCAAGAAATACATGGATAGAGTCCGGCCCGGTGGCCAAGTGGTTAAGTTCGTGCACTCTGCTTCAGTGGCCCAGGGTGTCGCTAGTTTGGATCCTGGGTGCTGACCTAGCACCGCTCATCAAGCCATGCTGAAGTGGCATCTCACATAGCACAACTAGAAAGACCTACAACTAGAATATACAACTATGTACTGGGGGGCTTAGGGGAGAAGAAGAAGGAAAAAAAGACATGGATATAATGCAATGTCAGGTTTAAGAAGGAGAATAAAGCAGGAGAAATGGACAGAGATGACAGGGCAGTGGGAGAGGGGGTGCTAGGAGGTATAACCTAGACACCTGAGTGAAGTGAGGGAGGGAGCCATGCAGATAGCTGAGGGAAGAGTGTTCCTGACAGAGGGAACAGCAAGTGCAAAGGCCCTGAGGTGGGACCATGTTTGGCTATGTGAGAAATGGCAATGATGCCTTCAGAGTTATCAACACTTGTCAGTCTTTAAAAGCTCAGAATCCTAGATACCAGGTTCCTAGGGATTTGCAGTCATGAGAACGGGGAGCAGTGTAAGGAACCTGTGAATCCAGGCCTGTGACTCCCACCCCGCCCCTCCCCACTCTTGCAGATGTGGATGAATGCCAAGAATATGGCCCAGCGATTTGTGGGGCCCAGCGCTGTGAGAACACCCCTGGCTCGTACCGCTGCACACCAGCCTGTGACCCTGGCTATCAGCCCACGCCAGGGGGTGGATGCCAGGGTGAGTGTCCCCTGGGCATTGGGTGAGACGTGGAGGGGATGGAGGGTCCAGCAATGGCCTGACTGTCTGGTGGTTGCAGACGTGGACGAATGCCGGAACCGGTCATTCTGCGGGGCCCACGCCGTGTGCCAGAACCTGCCCGGCTCCTTCCAGTGCCTCTGTGACCAGGGATACGAGGGGGCGAGGGACGGGCGTCACTGCGTGGGTACGGGGCTCCAAGGGGTGGGTGGGGCCAGGGTGGGGGAGAGGTTGGTCAGGCCCTGCTCCTCTCCATAGATCTCAACAAATGTGACCGTTAGGGTGTGCAATTTAGACCTTAGAATATAAGATGATCTCCATGTCAGTCAGGACTGTTCTGGTTGCAAATGACGGGAACTCTATTCATTCAGATTTATTTTGGGGGTGCTTAAAAAATACATGCATAAAGTCAGATGTTAGCTGGGGCCAATCTTCCTCAAGCAAAAAGAGAAAGATTGGCAACAGATGTTAGCTCGGGGCCAATCTTCCTCACCAAAAAACAAAACAAAGACAAAACATGTATAAAGTGTATAAATTGCCCTAATCTTAAGTGTATATAAACATTCTTTCTTTTTTCCCAACATTTTATAGGAAAGATTTCTAAACATATAGCAAATTGAAAGATTTGTAGAATGAACACCTGCACACCCGTGACCTATATCCTATTATTATTATTTTATAATATTTGTTTCTTCACGTATCTAGCCATTAATCCACCTAATTTTTTGGATAGGTTTAAAATTAAATTCTCTAGTCTCCCTAAATTCTTCAGTATGCATAGCCTTAAGCAGACTTCAGTAGGTGTTTACAGATGTTTTCATTTGAGGTTCAATTTACATACAGTGAAATGCATGAATCTTAATTGTCCGTTCTTTAAGTTTGACAAGTGCAAACACAACAGGCTTTATTTCTTTAAAGGAATTAAAACTGTGAAGTCCTGGGATCTCTGAAGTTCAGGCATACCTGGATCCAGGCCTTGTAACCAGGCTAGCCGTCTCCCTCTCTCGGCTCTGCCTCCCTCCGTGGTGTTTATTTTCAGGCAGACTCCATTTTCACGGTGACGAAGGAGGCCCAGCCCCTCCCAGCTGACATCGTCAGCTTGGCAACCCCAGAGCTAAAAAGGGAGGCTCTTTCTGGATGTTTCTAGCAAAAGTCCCAGGACTGGCTTTGATTGGCCCAGCTTGGTCACTGCCTGTCTCTGAACTAGAGAAATATAATAATCTGGCCCTGCCTGGGACTTGTGCCCATGCCTCGGAGTAGATTTAGCCCTGCTCGAAAACACATGAGTTGAAAATGGAGGAGCAGAGGGCTCCCAAGGGAAATCCAGGGTTTGTCACCAGAAGTTAAGTGGATGATGGGGTCTGGGCCGTTAAAAATACCCATTATATTTGAAAGCTCAGGATTTTAGACCTTTGAAATCTGACAAGGTTACAACCATTGACTCCGTCTCCCTTGCTGTCTCCTGCTCACAGATGTGAATGAGTGTGAAACGCTACAGGGTGTGTGTGGAGCTGCCCTGTGTGAGAATGTCGAAGGCTCCTTCCTCTGTGTCTGTCCCACCAGCCCTGAGGAGTTTGACCCCATGACCGGACGCTGTGTTCCCCCGCGGACTTCTGCTGGTGAGACAGATGTGTCTATTTAACTGATGGCTGCTGGCCCCACAGAAAAGTGATGTGGTCTGACCATTCCTGATGTGGACAGCTGCCATCAATTAAATGTTGTTGTTTTAAACAACAACAAAAACCTTTAGAATGCCCGGGTTCACATGGGTAGTGGGACTCAGTATCAGGAGAACTAGATCCTGGCCCTGACTCTACCAGATTCCTTCATTCAACAAATGTTCACAGGGCATCCTCGGTGTTTAGGCACTATTCTGGGCACTGGGGACACAGCAGTGACCAGGAAGACCACTCTGTCTTCAAGGGGCCCACAATCCAGTGGGAGTGCAGGCAGAGATATCACCAGATAGTGGCAATCCAGAGAAATCAGGGCTGGGATGGAGGAAGCACAGGCCTGAGGGAACCAGGCTGTGATGGGGAAAGGCTGAGGGGTTGTGGGAATCCAGAGGAGGTGCCTGCCTCAGCTTGAGAGGAGAGGAGGGAGGGTTTCCTGTGGGAGGAGCTGTCTGAACTGAAAGGCATAGGATGAGTAGAAAGGAGCCAGGCAAAGTGAGGGAGGGAGAGCCTTCCGGGCAGAGGACACAGCCAGAGGGCTGTAGTGTCACAGTGACCTGCTTGTGGTCAGGCGGCTGGCCTTTTCCCAGGGACACTGTGGCACATGTAAGGGTTTTGAGTGGGAGGGGGGTATATTGTATTTTGAAACCTCCCTCTGGCTGCCGTGTGAAGGTGGATTGGAGGGGGTGACACTGGGAGCTGGGAGCCTAGGGAGCAGGCCGGGGCGGGGACCTGGGCAGGAGAAGACAGGGCTGGACCATGGCAGGGGTCATGGGAGGGGAGGAGGGGTCGGTGGGAGAAAGGCTCCAGAGGCAACTGGACAGGCTATGGGGCCACCTGGGTCAGGGAGCGGTGTCCAGGCCCATGCCTGGCTTTGGGGATGAAGGCTGCGAGGCCAGTTTGGGACATGTTGGATAAGAGGGCCCAGGGAGGCATCCAGGAGGCCAGGGAAGTCCCCTCTCCTCCCTCCCAAACTGCAGCTGCGATGATTGGCAAGTCGCCTGGGAGAGTGTGAGGTGGGGAGGCAAGAGATGCAGAAATGACAGGAGGCGGGGATGGGAGAAAGCGAGACGATGACAGATGGTGAGAAGTGTGGAGTCTGGTTCTGCCACTGATGGCTGGGGGCCCTCTGGGCCTCAGTTTCCCCATCTGTAACGTGGGGGCCAGAGGCTCAGCCCACACTGGGCTAAAGCCCCTGGTCTCCCCAGGCACATTTCCGGGCTCACAGCCCCAGGCACCTGCCAGCCCCAGTCTGCCGGCCAGGCCACCCCAGCCACCCCCGCCCCGCCGGCCCAGCACGCCCAGGCAGGGCCCCTTGAGCAGCGGGCGCCGGGAGTGCTACTTTGACACAGCAGCTCCGGATGCATGTGACAACATCCTGGCGCGAAACGTGACGTGGCAGGAGTGCTGCTGCACTGTGGGCGAGGGCTGGGGCAGCGGCTGCCGCATCCAGCAGTGCCCGAGCACCGAGACAGGTGGGCATGGGCTACGGGGTGGACACACGGCTCAGAGTGGGGTGGAAATAGGTGGGCATGGACTGGCACAGGGGACCCATGTGGACACGGGGCTGAGGTACTGGTACTGCAAGGGCAAGAGTGAGCTGCCAGCCCGGTGTGCCTGGGGCTGAGAAGTGGGCACAAACGGGTATGGGTGCTGAGGGCTTGGGCGGCTTGGGCAGGGACAACAGTAAGTGCTGAGATGGGTGGTCGTGACAGGCCCAGGGCAGGGGCTGGGCCACAGGGTCTGTCTCAGGCGTGTCTCTGTGTGCAGCCGAGTACCAGTCATTGTGCCCTCACGGCCGCGGCTACCTGGTACCCAGCGGAGACCCCAGCCTCCGGAGAGGTGAGGCCAGAGTCAAGCCCCCACCGCAGCCCCAGGCCCAGCTCGGGCTCACCCTGTCTCTGTCTGTCTTCTTTCTCTCTGTCTCTCACCCTGTTTCTCTCTTGGTCTCCCCCCACCCCCCCGACCCTCCCCCAGTCCTCTGTTCTCTCTGTCTCCATCATTCCCTGTCTCTACCTCTGGGTCTCTATGGCCATCTCTGTCTCTCTCTTCCTTGGTCATACCCCGCAGACACACACTCCCCCTGCCCCTGCCCCCGCTCCAGCCCACCCCCATCTCTCATAGTGGGGGGGTGCATCTCTGATCATCTTTCCCACAGACGTGGACGAGTGCCAGCTCTTCCGAGACCAGGTGTGCAAGAGCGGCGTGTGCGTGAACACTGCCCCAGGCTACTCATGCTATTGCAGCAACGGCTACTACTATCATGCCCAGCGACTGGAGTGCATCGGTACGAGCTCCCCCCCGCCTCCCCGTGTCCCCCGGGGAACCCTCCCCAACCCTGGACCACGCCAGCTGCTCTCTGGAAGGTGGCCACCACCAGCAGGAGGTCCTTCCTGGAGTCTAGACTCCATCCATCACACTGTCAGGACGCTGGGGAAATGGGAATGAGTGGCGGGCTGCTTCTTAACTGCCCCCTCCATGGCTCCCTAGATAACGACGAGTGCGCGGACGAGGAGCCGGCCTGTGAGGGCGGCCGCTGCGTCAACACCATCGGCTCCTATCACTGCACGTGCGAGCCTCCGCTGGTGCTGGACGGCTCGCGGCGCCGCTGCGTCTCCAACGAGAGCCAGAGCCTCGGTAACCCCGCCCCCGGGCCCGCCTCGCCCCGCCCCTCGCTCCCTCGGCTCAGCCTCACGCCCCCCAGGCCACGCCCTCGGAAGGGCCACGCCCCGTCAAGCCCCGTTTAGCATGTCTGTGTGTCTGCCTCTTGGAGAGGCCAGCCGGTCTGGGGGTTAGAGGCAAAGGTTTTAGAGGAGGCTGCCACTTGCTGGGCGTGTGTACAGGTGCCCGTTGCTCGTCGCCTCTTGGGCCCCAGCTTGCTTTCTGCACACTGGGTGGATTGGCAATAGCCCCTCCTTACAGGGTGGCTGTGAGGAACCTTGTTTTTAAGGACACAGCGGGAGCTGGTCTTGCTAAGTGCTGAAGGCGCACTTCCTGTTATTATTTCCCGGTGTGTCTCTGTCTCTTTCCACCTCTCTGTGGGTTTCTGTCTTTAGGTTTTTCTCTGAATTGCTGACACTCCCTGGGTCTGACTTTGTTTCCAGGTCTGTTTCTTTCCGTCTCTGCATCTTTGCTTTCCTGGTTTTCTCTGAGTCTCTGACTCTTTAGATGTGTCTGTCTTTGGGTCCTTTCTTTCTCTCTTTTTGCCCACTGACCCAAACTCTCTTCTCCCACTTCCTGTTCCTACAACATGCCCCCCACACCTGGAGACTTCATTCAGATAATGCTCAGAGAGGAAAAGCAACTGCCCCGAGGTCATAGAGCCCTCTCAGACCCTATCTCTCAGCCACTGGACCCCTCCTGCTCTCTCGTCCTGTGTCACAGCCTCATGCCAGACCAAGTGCTGTACACACCCGCAGCTCCCTCAGAGGGCCCCCGGGAGTCAGATCACAGCCAACGACGAGGATTTGGTGATAGGCAGGGGGTGGCTGGGCTGCTCCAGCAGGGGAGGACCCGAGGACCGGTCCCACCCTGATGCATGCTGTCTCCACCCTCAGACGACAATCTGGGGGTGTGCTGGCAGGAGGTGGGGGCTGACCTCGTGTGCAGTCGCCCTCGGCTGGACCGCCAGGCCACCTACACGGAGTGCTGCTGCCTCTACGGCGAGGCCTGGGGCATGGACTGCGCCCTCTGCCCCGCCCAGGACTCAGGTACTGCCACCTGCCTGGCCGCCCTCAGGGCCCTGCCCCTCAGGCTCCAGATCCAGGCCCTCGGATTCCCAGATGGCCCCAAACTCGGCCCCTCAGACCTCTCTGTCCCAGCCCATCCCTAAACCTTGGTCCCTTATACCCCACGTCACATCCCAAACACCTCCAAGTCCCAACCACAGAAACCCCAAGGCCTGACTCAGCAGGTCCCATAGTTCCGGTCCCATGGAGCTCTGAGGTCTGGTCTCTCAGACCCTCCACTCCTGGTCTCTAGGACCCCAAGATGGCCCATAAGACAGCCCCTCTCCCAAATCCTGGACCCTTAGGCCTCAAATACCAGTTACTCAGACCCCACCATCCTGGCCCACAGACTCCTTGGTCATAGCCCACAGACCTCCAAGTCCCACCCACATCCAAGTGCCTAGGACCCCAACACACAGCCCTGGAGATCCCCAAGTCTTGGCTCTTAAAACCTCCGAGTCCCCCAGTCCTCAGCCCCTGGGCACCCAGCTGCATCCCCAGGCCCAAAGACCCGGGTCCTCAATCCTCAGACCTCCAGGGCCTGTGGCTCAGAGCCCCTCCCATACATCCTGGCCCCTCCAGCCCCGACTAGTGGTCCTGGTCCCTAAAGCACTCCCACCCCATTTCTGTGGGCCCCTAGTCCGAGCTCCCATGGGTCCCCCAATTCCAGCACTTGGACCCTGATGCCCACCTGCAGTCCTTGGTCCTCTTGATCCCAGACCCGTGGAATCCCAGTCTCAGCCCTCAGCCCTCCATCTTGGCTCCGGAACCCCTGATCCCGCCCCTCGTTTGGAGCCCCTCCCATGCCTCAGCCCAAGGCCCTCCCACCCTCTCGTCCAGCCCCCCCTCCCAGAGGGGGAAAAGGAATGGTGGGTGTGAGGCCAGCAAGGGCTGACTGCTAGGCCTGGCTCCTGTTCGCAGATGACTTTGAGGCCCTGTGCAATGTGCTGCGCCCCCCTGCGTACGGTCCCGTGCGGCCAGGTGGCTTTGGACTCCCCTACGAGTATGGCCCAGACCTAGGTCCACCTTACCAGGGCTTTCCGTATGGGCCCGAGTTGTACCCGCCCCCCGTGCTACCCTACGACCCCTACCCACCACCACCTGGGCCCTTCGCGCGCCGAGAGGCCCCCTACGGGGCGCCACCCTTCGACATGCCCGACTTTGAGGACGACGGTGGCCCCTACGGTGACTCTGAGGCTCCTGCTCCACCCGGCCCGGGCCCCCGCTGGCGCTATCGGCCCCGCGACACCCGCGGCTCCTTCCCCGAGCCTGAGGAGTCGCCTGAAGGTGGAGGCTATGCTGGTGAGCACTGCGCGCCGAGTGATGGAGACTGAGATGAGGTGTGCCGAGAGATGGAGACAGGGAGGAGGGAGGGAGAGATACAGAACCAGAGAGAAGCCCGAACGAGAGAGGCGCAGAGAGATGGGAAAACAGATACAGACGGAGGGCAGCGATGAAGAGGAACGGAGACGTTCCTGTAGAGCCACCAAGAAAGACATGAGGACAGAGGGAAGGCTGGGGAGAGCGGAGCCAGGTGAACCTCCCGGCCCCACAGCGCCCCCCACAGCCCTGAGCGGGATGGACCGCTTAGAAGGGGACACCCGGAGCCAGGGGCGCACCCCCACTGCGGGGGCATAAGGGACGGAAGGCAGAGACCCTGAGCCACCGAAGGCAGAGTCCCCACATTCTCAGCAGGCACCCTGGCCGGGCCCTACGAGGGGCTGGAGGCGGAAGAATGCGGGATCCTGGACGGCTGCGCGCACGGCCGCTGCGTGCGTGTCCCCGAGGGCTTCACCTGCGACTGCTTCGACGGCTACCGCCTGGACATGACCCGCATGGCCTGCGTCGGTGAGGGGCGGGCCGGGGCCAGCATGCGAGGGGGGGTGGGGGGGGGAAGGGGGGGGGGGGAGGGGGAAGCCCTGACAGAGGGGGCGGTCAGGGACATCGAGGGGGCAGGCCCGCCCGGAGGGACCAGGAAGTAATTCTTGCACTGGAGTGGGGCTTGCCTGCAGAAGGCGGGGTCGGACCGGGAGGAAAGCAGAGATCTCAGACTCAGTCCAGTCACTTGCTGTGTGACCCTGGACAGGTCACTGTCCCTTGCTTGGTTTTTCTCATCTGAAAAGTGAGCATAGTCATAGAACCCATTTCATAGTCTTGAGAACATCGTTAACATGGATTTACAACGCCGCTGAGGCCTATGTGTAAACCGAGGCGCAGAAAAGAGAATTAAGGGCCCCAGGGTCTCACAGCTGTGAAAGAGCAGGGGGGCCGGGCACCCAGAGACTTTGAGAGCTGGTCTGAGAAGCCCCCGGGCAGACTGTGGGCTCTGGCGGGACGTTGGGCAAGAGGCCTCCCCACGCTGGGCCTCAGTTTGCGCATGTGTAACACGGGATCACAGTAGCTACCTCGTAGGGTTATTAGGAGGATAAAGTTAATACAAGTAATATGCTTAAAACAACGTCTGGTATAGAGTAAGCATTTGTTGTTGTGGATATCGTCATCAGTTTTATTTTCCTAATAAAAACCTAGTGACCTAGAGGCTACCATACCCATCTTACAGAACTCGAAGCTGAGGCACAGAGAGGTTAAGTCACCTCCCCAGGGTCACATAGCTAGCAGGTAGGAGTGGCTGGATTAGACTCCAAACAGGAAGCTCAGCATCCACACCCCTCTGCCCCAGGAGCGTCAGGGGCCAAGGAGGCGGCTCTCGGGGCCCCAGTCCTGAGCAGCCCTCCATGCACCCCCCTCCCCAGACATCAACGAGTGTGACGAGGCCGAGGCGGCCTCCCCGCTGTGCGTCAACGCGCGCTGCGTCAACACCGACGGCTCCTTCCGCTGTGTCTGCCGCCCGGGATTCGCACCCTCGCACCAGCCACACCACTGCACGCCCGCCCGGCCCCGAGCCTGAGCCCAGGCCTGCCCACCCGGCGCCTGCGCACTCGGGGCCCTGCCCCGCGGTCCCGCCCGCCCACCTACGCGCATGCGCAGAGGGACGCCTGCCTGGTTGGAGAGTACAGACAGACCGATGGGAGGAAGGACGCCCTTCACTGTTCCCGCCACCCCCAGCCCCGTCTACCCCCGCCACGGGGCCCGGGACTAGCCCACGGTCCCCTTCACATTCCCTCTCCTTTTTATAAAACTTTTCAATTAAAAAACACCTATTTTGTACCTTCTGCCTCTATCTGCCAATGTTTCTCAGAGTCTGGCTCCGGAGTTTATTCTTGGAGCCGCTAAATTGCATCCTCTTCTCACCGCTGACGCCGTGTCTGTCTCTTAATTCCCGTGCCTGCGTCGCTTAGTCTGTCTCTCTTGGTCTCATCTTTCTCCCTCTCCGTCTGTTTCTCTGTCTCTGTCTTCTGTCTCTTGTCTTTCTGCTTCGTCTTCTCTGCCGAGTTCTCTGTCATTGTGTCTTTTCGTCTGTTTCTGTGTCTGTCTCTTTCCTCCTCTGTCCTTTTCATTATCTCTAATCTCCAGAGAGATCTTGCCTCCCGAATTTTGATCCCAATCAGCGCGGGAGCCGCCGCCTCCCCCTGTGTGGGGCCCAGGAAGGGATGGGACGGGGCAGCCTCAGCCTCTGCTCAGGGGGCTCCCCCTTAACTGAGCCAGAAGGAACCCCAGATTTCCTCGACTCCCCAAAGCAGTCAAAAGCTATCGTGGGACCAGTGGGGTATGGGGAGGGGGCGGGGGCAGGTGTCCCCGGAAGGCTAAACCCAGACCTGGGCCTCCCACTGGGGTTTGGCTGCGGCAGAGTAGGGAGCGGCCGTCCTGGTGGGTGGCCTGTGCAAGGACGTGTGGAGGCAGGAACGAGCTGTGTGTGTGACGGTAAAGTGCCCAGCACAGACCTCTCAGTGGCCGACTTCCTGGCCATGGGGGAGTCCAAAATTCCCCTCCGGGAAAAAGGAACAAAAAACAGCCTGGAGAGGCATAAACTCAGGGTCCAGAAGATGGTCAGGAATGGAGGAGCTCGCTGGCACTGAAACCAAAGACTGTACTGAGTCATTCGTCACCCCCCGATGAGTGTTGGGGTCTCAAAGTCAAATGCTTCGGGGACCAGGCAAATGATGTTAAAGGCAAGCAGGTGCAGGATAAGAAAATCGAAGTACAGAGGCTGGCCAGGGCGCAGCGGTTAAGTTCGCACGTTCCGATTCTCGGTGGCCCAGGGTTCGCTGGTTCGGATCCTGGGTGCAGACATGGCAACGCTTGGCAAAAGCCATGCTGTGGCAGGCGTCCCACGTATAAAGTAGAGGAAGTGGGCATGGATGTTAGCTCAGGGCCAGTCTTCCTTGGCCAAAAGGGGAGGATTGGCAGCAGATGTTAGCTCAGGGCTAATCTTCTTCAAAAAAAGAAAGAAATAAAAAGAAAGAAAAGAAAATGGAAGTGCAAAGGTGAAAACACACAATCAGAGACATCCTGTGTCAGGGTTGGGGCGGGTGGAACAGAGAGGGAAATCTCCCCATTTTAAAGAATAATATTTTTTTATGACCACCCTGTGGGTCATGTATGGCCCATGAGCCACCAGTTCTAATTCTTCCAGTGCAGCTCACGTTGTGTAAAGGGGGGACGGGCGTCCTTGACCTGACCCCTACCTACTTCCTGAGCTTCAGGGGGGGTTCGCGTTCCCGCCGGGGACGCACGAGGATCATCCTCGCCGTGCCTGCTCTGCAGGAGTGTCGGGGGCAGTTCCATGAACCGCTCTGTGTCAAGTCCTTAGACCTGTGCCCAGCACACAGCAAGCAAGCCTGGGCCTCCGGGGAAACGCCAAGCCCTGTGGCCGGTCAGCGGAGGACAGGCAGGTGGCTAGACCTGTTCTTTGCCCGATCTCCCTCCCAGGTCGGGGAGGAAGCCAGACTACATCTCCTCCAACAAGACAGCGAGAAACGCCCAGCACAGAGGCCCTGACAGGACGGGGCGTCAGAGCCGAGGGGCTCAAGGCTCCACAGAGAGGGCGCGGGCTGCACAGCTCTGTGCTAAAAACCACTGGAACCTACTCTTTAGCGGGGTACGTTGCATGGTGTGTGAGTTATAGTTCAACTAAACTGTTAAAAAGAAAAAAGAACTCTACAAAGGCGGCTCAGGAAGCGACCTGCCAGCTGACACAGGAACCCGGCCCAAACACTGACCTCTCATTCACTCACTCGACAAACATTTTTTACATCTGCTTTGTAATACATGAGTATTGGAAACAAAAACAAACCCTAACTCGGCCTCCGGGGCTGGGAGCTGGGGAGGGAGAGCTGACGACGCGGGGAAGATAGCCAGATGCGGTGGTGGAGGAGGGTGTGCCAGCAGGAGGGAGCAGCGTCTCAAAGGCCTGGAGGTAAGGAAGGCAAAGTCCTTTAAATGCCTTGGTTTTTTTTCATTTGTCAGTTCTCTGTGTTGGACAATGCTGTCCAAAAATGGTGACAATTTTGGTCCCTAAGAAATCCCTGGTCCCTGCCTTCATGGAGCTCCAGTGAGGGACGCAGACATATACTGCCAGACATGACAATGTGTGCTGGGGTGGGCGAGGGGCGCAGGGAGAGGGGTCCAGGTGGGATGGGGGGCCCAGGAAGAGGGGTCAGGGCCCGGATGGGGGGCCGAGGAAGAGGGGTCAGGGTGGGATGGGGGGCCAGGTAGGGGGGCAGGGATGGGGAAGATCAGAGGCTGTGAGTGCCCAGAGGAGGCACCTGACCCAGTCTGAGAGAATGTCAGGGAACACCTGCTGGAGGAAGAGAGAGTTTCGATCTGTTTTGGGTTCTAGATCTCTTTGAGAATCTCCTGAAAGCTCTGAACGTTCACAGAAGAAAAACACACAAGCAAACGTTGTAGGCAATTTCCGAATATTCCCATTCCAGGAAGCACCTGTGCCTGGGAAGCCCCTGAGCATCCCATTCTCCCCAACAACAACCCTGCTGTATAAATATCCCACCAGGGGCCAGCCCGGTGGTGCAGCGGTTAAGTGCGCACCTTCCGCTTTGGCAGCCCGGGGTTCGCCTGTTCGGATCCTGGGTGCGGACATGGCACTGCTGGGCAAAAAGCCATGCTGTGGCAGGCGTTCCACATACAGAGCAGAGGAAGATGGGTACGGATGTTAGCTCAGGGCCAGTCTTCCCCAGCAAAAAGAGGAGGAGGATTGACAGTAGTTAGCTCAGGGCTAATCTTTCTCAAAAATAAATAATAAAATAAATGTCCCCATTCCCAGCAATGGCAATGGGGACAGGGTTGGCCAAGTACTGGGAAGCTGGGAAGCTTTGTCAAATTCCAGCGTCCCGCGGACCAGGGCATGAGGTTTGAGACGTCCAAGCATCCCTCTCACCCCCTGCAGGGCCTGGAGGGCGTGCCAAGGATCCAGCATTTATCCTGTCTACCCGCCCCCCCCCCCATCCCCAGCGCAGCCCCGGCGCTGTGGGGGTCCTTGGCACCGGCCGGGACCAACGCGTTCTCCTCTGGAATGTCCAGAGGACATGAGGGGAAAAAGCCCAGGCGGTCGCCGCGCTCGAGGGACAAGAGCCGCAGCGCCCCCTGACGGTCACCGCGCGCCGGCGCATCCCAAGCCGCCCGCGCCCCCTAGTGGCCAATGCTCCTCATCAGCCAGCACCCACCTCCAGTGCCAGGCCGTGGTCCGCAGACTGGGATCCTCCTCGTCGCCATCGTCATCATCATCATCATCATAGCTAATACGTAAATAGCGCTTCCTATGTGGCAAGCACTATGCTGCTTTATATTTATCTATCTAGACAGATAGATAGATAGATCACCTCATTTAATTCGCACACCAGACCTAAGAAATAGGTACTAATCATCTCCATTTTCCTCATCTGAAGCACAGAGAGGTAAGAAAACTTACCCAAGATCACACACCTACTAAGCGGCAGAGTCTGGATCGAATCTAGGCAGCCTGGGCCCAGAGTCCATCTTCTGAACCATTCAAAACTAAGCATGAAGTGAAATAACCTGATGGTTGGGGATTGCTTTAATCCTACAGAACATCTGAGTGTCAAAGCGGAAAGAACTTAGGTGCCTGGGTCCCCACACTGCCAGCCTGGAACATTTCACCCTTGGCGTATTTTGTGCGAATAAACTTCTTTTTTATTTGAGTCATATTTTGAAGTCTCTTTGTTACAGCGACTTAGCTCATATCCTAAAACGAGGGCATCAGAATCCCCTGGAGGGCTCATTAAAAGACAGATTGCGGGGCTGGCCCCGTGGCCAAGTGGTTAAGTTCGCGCGCTCCGCTGCAGGCGGCCCAGTGTTTCGTTGGTTCGAATCCTGGGCGCGGACATGGCACTGCTCATGAAACCACGCTGAGGCAGCATCCCACATGCCACAACTAGAAGGACCCACAACGAAGAATATACAACTATGTACCGGGGGGCTTTGGGGAGAAAAAGGAAAAATAAAATCTTTTTTTTTTTTTAAAAAAAGAAGAAGACAGATTGCTGAGCGCCCCTCCCAGTAAGTCTGCAGTAGGAACTGAGCATTTGTACTTCAGATAAGTTCCCAGGGGCTGCTGCTGCTGCTGCCGATCCAGGAGCCACACTCTGAGAACCATTGCCCAAAATAACGCAGGTCCTTACGTGTGCTGTTTTGTGTGCCCAACACTCACTCTCTCTCTTTGGGAGAACTGTCTCCATGCAGCTGAGCCCCCCAGAAGACTCCAGGATTGGCCAATGAGTGAATCCCTTCCGCCTGGCCTTTGTAATTGGTTCAGGGAGGGGCGTGTCCCTGAAGCTGGACCAATGAGAGCCAGCCCTGGGACTAAGGCTGGACTGTTGGGGCCCCGCCTCCTAGGCTAGCTGTGCTGGAGGGGCATAGGCCTGGAACACTGGGGGCTTCCACGGGGGAGGAGCTGGTCTGAAAACAAAGCCAACACAGGGGGAAGCAGGGCTGGGAGATCAACAGAGAGACGGTACCTGACATACGTCATCTGTGCCTCTGGGTCCAGCCAATCCCTAAATTCATCAACTCTATCAGCAAATTCCGTCAACTCTACCTATGAAAAGTGGCCATCTCATATTGGAGGAAAAGCGACGCTATAAATTAGAACATCACTGAGTCAATGACAAAACTGGACGACAATAAGTAGATTAGGAAAATTTTGTGTATTAACGTTAAATTTACTAAAGTTAGTTATTGTACTGTGGCTATGTAAGAGAATATCCCTATTCTTAGGAAATACACACTGAAGTATTTA